TGCTTGGCAGCACTATTTGGTAAGTCTTGTGATTTTTATCATGAGACTTATAATACTTATGGCCTTCAGTAGGACTTCATGTCCAAGCCTCGTGATTCTATAAAGAGAGAAAATTAATTATATCAATCCAAACGAAGTCCAAATCTCAATAATCAAAAGGTAAGTAAAAAAAATCCATCAAAATGCTTTTATTTTTATTAGAAACATCAAAATGGTTTTGTCAAATCCCTACGACTTTTAACTCCAGAATTTATTTCTTGAAGCCCAATTTTTGACATTTGAAAGGTTGGGGGTAATGCCAGATCCTCAGAGATGCTAAGCCCATTGTAAGAACTGAATACCACCGTCTTCCAAAAAAACCCACCCAAAACTGCATGAACTCGGCGGCTTCTGTGTTTGCTCCCTCCACTCCATGGTTAGCGACAAGCTGCTCTCTTTGGCCAGAGCTGAGTAGGTGACTGACCGATGGGGTCTGCGTATTTCAGAGGACTTTTGGGGAGCGTGTGCTCCCACTGAAGGCAGCAGTCTCTGGGGTGCTTTAGAGCAAAACTCAAAACCATCCGGTAGCACGTGTGAGAGAACTGCTGGGTCTCAGCCCTGTCGCTGAGATGGGGAACAGTTACGTTACTGAGATCAGAACTAACTTAGCACTGACTGGCGTAACTATAGAGCAAGGTGTAGCTGAGTGCCCTGGTAAAAGCAGAAGGAAGGATATATTCCGTGGTTGGTTTATATGGGGTTTTGAAGGAGGAGGGTGGTAAACACATAACATGGTGGATCCCGCAAAGCCTGCTCCCAGGGCAATGTGTTCCTTTGAGACATAATTGATTCCTGCCATCAGGCACCAGCCTGCTCTCCCCCAGGGTCAGCGCTTTCCCACATCCAACCCCATTATCCCACAGACCATGCCTTTTGTACAACACACTCCAGCTATTCATGTGCAAAGCAGCTGTAATCCCCAGACCTTTCAGAGTCAATATACCAGGAAATAATAAATCCCTCTTGTGCACTCTTGAATATGCTGAGAGGTGACTTGTGGGAATTTCAGCTGGGCAGAAAAATAATAAATTCTCCTTAATTTTTAATTATATGGAATACTCGCTGTAGAAAGACTATGTCATTGGTGCATGACTATTTCAGGGTCACCCACACAAGCAGCTATAGAAATTGCTTTTGCCTCTAACAACCCTGAAAATGCAGATCAAATTGTCTCATATGTTTCTTAATGATCAAAGTCCACTTTCCTTCACTTATGCACCTGGGAATGGCAGTATATTAAGCATTCTGGATCTGAAGAAAAACTAATTAAAAAAGGTTAAACCTGCGAAGAATGTACTTTACAGTAATAAAAGACCCCTTTTTGCCAGGGTTGTAACATCTAAAGGAGGCAAGATAATGCCATGCTGATGACATTTAATGGAATATTTTATACAATAGGTCTAATAACAACATAACCTTTTCCCCTGCAAGAGGCAGATTTCACTACACTTCCACTCTGTTGGTTCAGACAGCAGAATTATGCTTGGCTTGTGAGAGCAGAAGCAGCCAATCCTGAATAGCAAGTTTGGCAGGATAATTTCTTTATATATTGCCTCCCATGCCAAACCATTTTTTAAACTACTTACTGTGTGGAATGTAGTACCACTGAAACACTCTGAGCAGAAGACGGTAGGCAGGGTCTGGCACACCTGGGGGGCTGGGAGAAGGGATCCTCATCTGTGACCCCAAAGTAAGCAGTGGCTCGTTAGTTAAAAACTGTCAGAGTCATTAGTGTTCACCTCAAATAGGTAGTACCCTGTCTTTTCAAACCTTACCCAAGAAACCTCCACAGAGCGAGTCATAAGAAGTATGAGGATGAAGAAGGGATGTGGTAATACTGCAGGGATTTGTGGTGCTAAAATCCAGGAATCTTAAACATTAGGACACATCCACCCAGAAACAGTAAGGTATGAGTGTGGCACAACACTCATAGTTTGTATTTCATCAAGCATTCAAAGATAATAATTTCCACACAGATGTGTCAGCACAGGTCTACTTGGGACCCTGGTAGGTGTTCTCATTGCTGCTGTCTTCCTCGGTGATACTGCCACTAACACATTACCTGTGAAAGTGAGATCAGAGCTAGCTTTGTCCTAAAAGCCTTCCATTTTACCTGGGTAAATAAGCCTTTCCAGCAATGCTAACCATGGCTGGCCTGAGGAAGAGACAAAAGCCCACTTGAGATCAGACTGCACGCAGGACAGATCCTGCAAGGCCCTGCTCTCCAGGCAGCCGTGATGACAAAGGGGTGTCCCAGGGAAGGAGTATCTCCGCCAGGCTCCCAAATGATGGGGAGAAAAGAAACTCCTCTGCAAGACAGCGAGAAGAGGCCACCCTTAGCACTTCCACTGCAGAGGAGCACTGTCCCCAGAGATGCTCCTTCTCCGCTGTGTGCTCAAGGCGTTCAGAAGTATCCCCAGGTGATGCCAGAAA